AATACCCACCTGTGGGGACCAACACCCTCTGGAGCAGTTACAGAAGCCAGTTTTATACACTGCAGGCAAGGGACCAAAACTTGGTTGTTACAGAGAACATTCTTACAGTGGGCCCCAGGATGTTTGTCAAGTCTCAATGAACCATTTATCCCCCATCCTGGCCCTGTTGCTGACAATAATCAGTTTTACAAGTTTTTCCTTTTACGGCAAAGCTATTTGGGGAATTTCCATTGCAGCAAGCAGCAAGCAGAATACAGAAGCAAAATGGCGGTTAGTGCAAAATGGCATTAGCTTGGTTCAATACAGGCCCAACAGTAGTTGCCCAATTTTCCCAGCACCATTTGTAGAACAAACTTTCTTTGTTGCATTGCGTATTCTTTGCTCCTATGTCAAAGATAAGCTGTCCATAAAACTCTCATCATATATTTTTCTACTGGTTATTTGAGCCCTTACTATGATTCTTCCACATTGAGGAAATTATCGATTTCTTATATTTCATCTCATATTTATCCTCTTCTTCCTCCATTTTTATTTACTTCAAATGCCATGCTAAACTCTGATCATTAATTCATTTTTGTAGTCTATTAAATGACACTTTCTGTAACTCATTTTCTTGTTTAATGTTTCTGCTTTTATCCTTTGGCTATTTCCATATGATTTGGGGCCTCACCCTAAATAAATAAGTTGTCAAAGAGCATTGATACCTGGCTTTCTTTGCCTATTCTGGGATGATGATAAAGTCTTAAAGGATTATGTTCGCTGTGGATTTCAATAGGTGTCTAGTGCACACACATGTCATGCTGAATTCTAACTTTTTAAAGCATTTACAAAAAATTGTTCATGTGCATGATATGTCACACATATGTGACAGATCCTGCTAAATTTATTTGTGCAAGTACAGGAGGAAACCACCCCATGAAGTGAGCAGCACAGGGGTATCTCAGGCCTTCTAGTCCCACATCAGCAGACCTGAAAACCTGGGCTCTTGAGAGAGCTGGAGTTGGTTTTCATGTCAAAGTTGCAACCACAGCTTGGGCCCCACAGTTTGAGCCTCAGTGGGTGGGCTTTGGCAAGCAGAGCCCACAATTCTTGTTGATAGGGTCACCTGCATCTTTCCCCACTCTGAGATGAGCTATGTGGGCAAATTGGGTTGGAGGCCCTGACTTTTGGGTAATGAGCTTGACCTCCTTGAACTATAGAAGGTCCTGGATAGCTCCACATGACCTCTGATTGCCTTGATGTCACTGGCATGCAGTTTCCTCAGGTCCTTCTTGTGCTTCTTGGCAAACTACAAGTTCCTTAGGGATTATATTAAACTATCACAAAAACAAAAAGGCCCCCTACTGACTTGGGGAAGATATTTGCACATTGCAAGTCTGACAAGGGGTTAACTCCCCAAATAAATAAAGTGCTCACATAACATAGTAACAAAAAACCAAATAACTCAATTGACACTTAAAAAAAAGATTTATTTATTTATGCATAGGGAACTGGGGTACAGGCCAGAGGTGCAGGGGGTGAGAGGATTCACCAGAGACAGAATGGGGAACAGAACAGGCAGATGTACTGAAATACACTGTTGAGGGGAGCAGCAGGTGGGACAAGAGAAGTCTGCCACACCATATGGGTCACCTCCCTAGCTGGGGATCAAGCTCAGGCTGCAGTGGCTGCGATAGCTTCATAGTGCTGTGCTTTAACTCATTACATCAACAGGGAAATAAATAGACACTTTTTCATAGAAGACATTCAGATGGCTTATCAACATGAAAGAAGTGTCAAAATCACATGCATTTTAACGAACATGCAATTTTTTAACCCAATGAGATATTACCTGACCCCTGAGAGAATGGATTATATAAAAAAAATGGGAAACAAGGAATGTTGGTGCAGATGTGGAAAACAAAGGCCACTCATCCATTGTTGGTGGAAATTCAAATTGGTGTGATCTCTGTGGAAGTCAGTATGGAGATATTTGAAAAAGGCAAAAATGGAAACACAATATGATCCCACAATACCATTGCTAGGTATTTTCCTAAAGAATCTGAAAACTCTAATATGGAAAGATTGAAGCATGCCTAAGTTTACAGCAGCATTATTCATGATAGCCTAGTCATGGGACCCACCAAAATACCCATCTGCCTAAAGAAGTTGTGGATATATTCTCAATAGAAAATCTCTGAGCTATTAGAAAGATGAATAATTGCCTCTTGGGACAAAATGGCTAGTTTTTGAGGTGATTGTGCAGTGTGAAGTAAGTAGGAAAGGGAAACACAGTTACTGGATAGTTTCGATTGTTTGTGGAATATACTGGCCACATATAGGCAAGGACTATAAAAATAATTCACAGACTCTATAAAAATACTGGTTACCAGAGAAAATTGGGGGCAGATGGAAAGGGGAGGACAAAAGGGGAGGGAGAGGATGGGCCACTGAATGGCGATGTTGGTGGAAGGTGATGGAAGCATGTGCACCTGGGGAGATATGAAAAGGAAACCCAAAAGTTTAAAAAAGGGCAAAGGAATAAAAATAATTTTTTTTGTAAGGAGAAATTTAAGATCAATTTGGAGATATTTAACATTAATAACTGGTAAGAACACAGTAGCTGAATGATACTTAAAAGCTATCAGAGAAAGTCTTCTAATTGCAAAGAGAGTCTTCGATTCCCAAAGAGAGTCTTTTAAGCAGCCTGTGGGTATAGGAACAGTGAGGATACACGAGTCTCTTGAAAATACTTTCTTTATATATCACTCTGAATCATTTTTATTTTGTTTTACTAAATGAATAGTCATGACTTGTATTACTCCTACAAAAGGAGCTATATTTGATGACAAAGGCAATTTACGTAACTTGATAACAGAAGGAAATCTTTAAGTACAGTTTATCACTTTTGAGTGGCTCATTCCTTTATATATCATTCTCTTACTGCTTAACTTGATAAGTGGATTTGAACACACTAAAGTGTTTGTTATTGCTGATATTGAATTTATTCCCTCGTTAAGATCCTGTTCTCTTTCAACTGTGTGCACACAAGTCTACTTTAGTCAGTGACAAAATCAGTTAATACATATCTCCAAATGGACTCTATACTGAAACACAAATGTCAGTAAGCAAAATGATTTAACACTGTCTTTCAGTAAGAGACATTCTTAAATTTGATGAAGCAAAAAATCGATTTATACTATACTTCATATAACTATGCAATATATCTTCTTTTCAAGCAGAACACCTACTCATCCATCTATGAAATATTGGTGTTTATATGTGAGGGTGTTTATACATTGCATTGAAGGATTTGTTGACATGCTATGTTTTTTCATTTTAGTATCATTGTTTTGATAAAAAACTTTTAATAATGGCTATGAATATATTTATATAAATTCTAAATGAGATATCTCTATTTTCCAAAACATTTTATGTCTAAAGGGGCAGTAAATGAACAATGTCAAAACCATCCATTATATTATTCTGTTTATTTTCTCAGAAATCTCTTTCATATACATGATTAAGAAATAACTCACAAAAGAACCTGATTTTATGTCATGTGGTTCAGGTCATCTTTTTTTTCGGCACAAATATTCTTTTAGAACCCAAAAATAAACCCACACTTATATAGGCAGTTAATCTATGACAAGGAACCAAGAGTATACAAAAGGGTAAGGAAAGTCTCTTCAACAAATAGTGTTGGGAAAGCGGATAGCTACAGCAGGAAATGAATTTTGGCCACTTTCCCACACTAGATACAAAACTTAACTCAAAATGGATTAAAGACTTGGATCTAAGACCAGAAGCATAGGAGAAAACAGTCTCAGGCCCAAGGATAAGAATACATTTGAAAGAGTTAGAAAATGATAGGGTTAATTGTTGATATTGAAAATAGGTTTTTTTTTTTTATTACAGTCAGTTACTTAATTATGGAGAGAAGTTGAATTCAAGAAACAGAAACACCAGGGAGAATTAAAGGAGAAAATCCCACTTTAACAATCTGATAGAAGTTTCACAATTTATAATTGAGACTTTAAATACTGTAATCATGAGTATTTCTTACACTCAGGTGTAATTGGCCACTTTATAGCTGTTACCAACAAAATACTTTTCAGAGCCCCCTTTATGTCTTTATTTCTCAGACTATAGATAAAGGGGTTCAACATGGGTGTGACCACAGTGTACATCACTGAGGCAATTACACTTGACAGTGAGTTGTGGGTGGCAGGAGAGCTAAGGTACACTCCTACACTGGTACAATAGAATAAGGAGACAACTGAGAGGTGAGAGGCACAGGTGGAAAATGCCTTATATTTTCCCTTAGCTGATGAGATTCCACGGATGGAGAGAACTATTTTAGAGTAAGAGTACAGGATACCAGTGAGGGGTGCACCGGCCAGGACAACTGCAGCCAAATGCATCACTGTTTCATTGACGGAAGTGTCGGAACAGGCAAGCTGGATCACCTTATTGAGTTCACAGAAAAAGTGGGGGATTGCCAAGTCTGTACAGAATGACAATCGCAACACCATTAAACTTTGTAACAAGGAATGCAGGGCACTCAAGAGACAGGACACCAGCACCAGCAGCCCACAGAGCCGGGGGTTCATGATGACTGTGTAGTGCAGAGGGTGGCAGATGGCCACAAAGCGGTCATAGGCCATCACGGTCAGGAGGAAGTCATCTAGCACAGCAAAGAATAACACAAAAAATATCTGCATGATGCAGCATTCATAGGTTATGACTTTATTCTTTGTCTGGATGCTCAGCAGCATCTTGGGGATGGTGGAGGAAGTGAAGCAGATGTCTACAAAGGACAGGTTGGCGAGGAAGAAGTACATGGGCGTGTGGAGGTGGGGGTCAAAGATGACAGCCAGGATGATGAGCAGGTTTCCAAAAACTGTGATCAGGTACATAAAAAGGAAAAGCCAATATATAAGAGGTTGTAGTTCTGGTTCTTTTAATAATCCTAGAAGAAGAAATTCTGAAATCTTTGTATCATTTCCTGGTTCCATGTAGTAGAGGCAAAGACTAGAAAAGATTAAAAAAGTTTAAAAAATAATTATTATTTAAATTCTACAACTTATATTTTGAAGTCAATAAATAAATATATTCACGTGACACTGTTCCTTTTATAGTAGCTCTTCTACCTCTGATTGAAATTCCTATCCTACTCAGCATTTCCCCAAAGGTCATGTGTCTTACAGTCTTAGTAAGAAATTCTTTCATACATTTGAGAAGTGTGTGTGAGTACCCCTTCTCTAGGCAAAAGTATATAATGTAGTAAGAAACAAAAATCCCCACCCTTTAATGATTTAGAAAAAATATGCAAGCAAAATATATCCCATTTCAAAAGGTTACTTGGTGTTATGAAGAAACAAGGAGGTGTTGTGGGTGTTATTTCTGCCTCGGTGACTGTAAAAGACAAGCAAATATGGTGGCATGTGAATAGACAACTCAGTGAGGAGGGGGCAAGAGATGCAACCTTCTAGAAAGTGTGCACAAGGGGAAATGGCAAGTGTGAAACTTCTTTTATATATATAGTACATTTTTTTCATCTCAATTGTAGTCCTTGTGGGCTTCCCATCATCAAGTCACCCATGTGCCATCTCACATAGTCCAGTAAGTGCAAAACTTTTAATGTACTTTTCTCAGCTATTCAAGGCTCAAACAGAAGCCAGGGTTTCTAGATGAATAATCAAGAAGGAGCTTGATGAGAGTTGGGGTCACAGTGTTGGGGAAAGAATTGATCTCCCTATTGATACTGAAACCCAAGATACAGTTCTTATGACAACTTGTCTTGCTCTTTCTTGATTTTGTTTCCAAGGAATATTTGTCCTATAAATTGGTTTACAATGCTGCATACAATGTACTAAAGTACACATTGTTCTTCTACTACCTGGTAGGATGTCTCCACTATAATGGTAGCTTCTTTCACTGTGAAGATG